AACTAATTCTACTTTATTGTAAAGCTACATTAACAGAATCTTGCAAGTCTGAAAGGACAATCCTCCCACTGTCTCCTTTACAGCCTGAGAAACTAGGGAGGGTCCCTTCTGAGCCTGTTGCCCATCCCATTATCCTATTGTGGGCTGTGCTCCCTCTTATCTGACATTTCCCCCAGCAACATCACTTGGCTCCGTCTCCCAAGGTCTTTCCCACATACCATTACAAGCTTGACTCAAAGGGGGTTTGATTCACCTCCTTTCCATTGTTGTACAGCTAGATGTTGGGGGGGGGTGTCTTCACCATATGACATGTATTATTTATTCTTCTGTACCTCTTTAAGAAAGATAAGTAGATACACATATACCCATATATCATAACGGCCTTAAGATACGTGAAGGCAGATATCAATGGAGCAGTCAGTTCAGCCATGGAACAAGTAGCCCGAACAGGTGGCTGGCCTCCCTCCTTGGATGTGGCCAAGAGGCTGGACAGCCCTGCCTCTCTGGCATGGATTGCTGCAGGGAGCTGGTGTTGGGCTATGTGGCCTCAAGGCCCCCTTTCTTCTTCTTTCTGATGGCTGTTGTTACAAAGACATACAGAAAATAGCTGGTGGGGTCAAGAAACTAGAGCAAAGTCTGGAGTGGACTCTCTGATCCCCACATGGCAGGGATCTGAATGCACAGGGCTTATTCGTGGGAAAAGGAAGTTTACAAAAGGACAGGAAAGGGCAGTGAGCAGTAACACTGGGACTGTGGGACATCAGCCAGCCCAACTGCTTTAGCTCCAGGCAGAGGATTTTGGATTTCTAAAGAGGTACCAGAGCTGAACATGTAGGAGTTCAGCTCAGCTCCTGGAAAGCTGGTCGAATCACCCACAGGATTTGACAAGAAGCAATCTAGGCAGTTGGATTAGGGTCTCAGCCTCAAGAGCCATCTGCTCAAGACAGGTGGAATAATGTCCTTCTGCTTCTATTTTCCAAGAAGCGGTATCAAGAGAACACATATTGATTCCAGAGATATCATAAAAACATCCACATTAGTATATATTTATGAAATGTATGCTCAGCCCCATTCTGTTATGACTCTGAGCAGCTTACAAAATACACAGTAAAAACAGAATAGACACACACAAATCGTATTTAGTCTTTACAGATTGGTCTAAAGAAATTTTACACTTTGAGCATGAGTTGAGGATCAGTCAATCTTTTATCTGCCCAATTGTACGGCCCCAAGGGAGAGTCCAGAAAATCAGAATCGGGCAAGCCACGGTCTTCCCTATGACCCGCTATGGAAGTGAAAGTTGAACTTTGAAGAAGCAGGACAGGAAGAGTATTGACGCTTTTGAACTTTGGTGTTGGAGGAGACTCTTGAGAAGATCACCGACAGCCAAGAAAACAAACCGATGGATCTTTAAACAAATCAGTCCAGAGATTTTACTTTAAGCACAAATGACCGAGCTCAAATACTTCAGATGCATGATGCGAAGACCCAGCTCTCTGGAGAAGGCTCTGATGCTGGAAAGGTGGAAGGAGGAGAAGAGGACAACCAGCTGCAATGTGGAAGGACTCAGTTACAGTGGCATTGGGGGCACTGTTGGAAGACCTGAAGGACCATGTCATGGAGAAAATGTATGTTGCTAAGAGTCAACAATGACTTGATGGCACGTATTCAATTTTTTAAAAAATAGACGAAAGTAGGTTAAATATCCTGAACAGGGCTGGATGTTCCAAGGCTCAGAAATCAGTGGGAGGTGTTAAAAATCTTAGAATCAATGTAGAGAAGAGAAGAGGAGTTTAGACAATATTATCACTCCAAAGAGAAATAGTTCCAATTATGAAGCCAGAGGATCATGGTGCTCAGTGGGTCAGAATCGGACTGGTGCTCAGCTGATAGCCCAAACAAGTGATCTGCTGTTGCAGGGCAGATCTCTGGAGTGAGAATTCAAGCTGGAAACATCAATGGTGCTGGAGCTGGAAAGCTGAGGATCTTGGTTTGGGACAAGGACATCTTTCTCCAGCTGTACTTCTGCCAGCCCATTCTGACATCAGGAGTCATGTCAGAATTACTCCTGATATGTTACCTGAGTAGAGATAGGAAGTCCAGAAACACTGGAGGGAGAAGGGGATTGCACTGCCATTTTTAACATGTTTTCCTTGAACGTTCCTGATTTCCCATATTGTTCTGATTCCCGAAAGATGGGCATTTCTTGGCTCCAAATATCTGTCCAGCTTTTAGAGCATTTTCCTCTTCTCTCCCTCTGCATTTCTCTAACTGTGGCCAATCGCAACCCTTTAAGAATGCTCATTTGTTTGCAGGCACGAGAAGAGCGGACGTGGAATGTGCCCCTTGCAGACCCGGCACGTTTTCTGATCTTGAGTCTCCCGAGGCCGTCTGCACCCCCCACAGGAT